TTGCTTTGGTTTTGTTACTCACCAGTTGTAGTGTCATTCTAATCAATAATGAACTGGATGAGGGCAAACAAATTGAAACTTACTCCAGACAAGTTTGAGATGCTACTGGTCAGATCAGGGAACAGCCATTCTTCCTATTCTAGATGGGGTTAATCTCCCCCTTAAGACACAGGTCCACGGAGTATATTCCTGCAGCATTGTACTTGGAGACCCAGATTTCTGCAGTAGCCAGGACTGCTTTCACATGTGTGTTGACTTGAGTAATTGAATGTGGACATGGTGGTACATTTAGATTACTGTAATGCATCCTATCCTACTGTAATAAAGTGTATTCAGAAACTTCCAAAGAACTGTGGCCAGATTATTGACCAAGACTGGCTACAGAAGCACATAACTCCTCTGCTGCTACAGCTGCTACAGCTCTACTGGCTATCAGTTTGTATCCAGGCACATTCAAAGTTGCTGGTTATGACCTATAAAGTCCTGAATAGCTAAGGTCCTAGTTGTCTGGCAGATTGTATTTCCCAGTACAAACCTGCCCAGGTCCTGAGATCCTCAGGAAAGGACCTTTTTTCATTCCCACTACCATTGCAAATATGGTTGGTGAGGATATGAGAGAGGGCCTTCTTGGTGGTTACCCATGGGTTCTGGAACTTCCTTCCCAGGGAGACTAGAATGGCTTGTCTTTGTCCTTCCAACAGCAGGGTAAACCATTTTATTCAGGCAGGTTTTAAAAGCATTTTTTTAAAGAACAAATCAAGGGGTGCTACAATGTTTTTATTGATTTTTCAGTGTTGTTTACATGTTTAATGTGAAGTTAATTGACTTGTTTTAATAATTGTGTGTTTAATTCTAACAACAACAACAACAACAACAACAACAACAACAACAACAACAACAACAATGTACTACTACACTTGAGACTGCGAAAACATATTTATCAGAAAGAGGAGCCATTGGTTTTTTTTCTCTTATTCTCTAACAGTAAGATATCTTGAACCAGTCCTGAACATTTAACAATCAATCAGTATAGAAAGAAAATGTTTGATCATACAGAAAAAAGTTAGAATACTTCAGAGGAAGGAAATGGCAAAATACCTCTAATTATACCTTGCTTAAGAAAAACCATGTGAAATTAATGGGATCACCATAAGTTGATAGATGAGTTAAAGGAGACACACACAGGACCAATTATGCAATGAATGATTTCTAAAACTTGAAATTTCTTCACTTCTCAAGAGGCAAGCACACATTTTCTCTGCTATAATGTTGACTGACCTCTCAGGAATCTCATTCAAGCCAAGCAAGCCTTCACATTTCATTTCCACTTGCCTCATTATTGTGCCTCAAGGTGATATAAATAACACATGGCTAATTTGTGAGTGTGGCATGTTCAAGCAAATGTATATTTTAGTCAGGCCACCTTCTGACATTTGGTAATTGGTTTACAGATTTGTTATATAATTTAATGATTATTAACTTTGCCAGTGGAAAAAGTGAACTAAATTAAACAGTGAGCTGCTTTGAAACTCTAACGGTATCAGCAGAATTCCAAAAGCACAACTCAATAAAGACAGTTGACTTATCATAGGGTACATATTTTCCATCACATTTTAATGTGGTTTAAGTAGTGAACAGCTTTCAATCTGATTTTGTTTAACTGGCTTCTTCTCCACATATCTCTGCCTGATTTGCTACTTCTACCATGGCAAAGGTCTACTCTTTAATATGTGTTGGGACCAAAACAGCTTGTTCAATTTTTCATCCTAGATATAAGTGTTAAGGAAGAAGAAGAAGAAGAAGAAGAAGAAGAAGAAGAAGAAGAACTTTATTTTTCTACCCCTCCTCCATCTCCTCGAAGGGACTCGGGCAGCTTGCATGGGGCCAAGCCCAGGCAGAATACAATTAAAAACAGAACAATAGCCATTTCAAATTAAAAATAGCATAAAACAACATAACAGTAGTAGGCAAGCATCAAGCAACAACAGACTAATTTTGGAGGGGGGAAGGAGGCCAGTATACAAAACTGGTTAAAGCGTAAGTGGTTCAATAAGGTGCATGAAAAAGTATAATAGCATAGGAAATAGCATGAAACAGCAGATAAGCAGCATCAGGATTATTTTAGCTTAACTAACAAATATGAGTGGTAATGTAATATAGGAATTCAGATAAAATCATGATTAAGGTCACGATACAGGTTGTTGTCATAGGAGTTGTCAATCGAATGCACGTCGAAACATCCACTTTAGTGCCATGATAATTGAGATCTGATTTGCAAAGTTATTTGAGGAAAGAGTCCCATAATGTGTATGTGCGTCTGTGTGTATCTTATCATTTTGCTCTCTGCTTACTTAGCAAAGTTCGTTATTGTGCCAGTAATGTTGCAGCAACTGAATTCTAGCATCTGCTAATGCTGCTACCATCTTTCATTCCAGTAACACTTTGGGAAGGAAAATGAAGACAACCTGAAACATTACACGGTATCACTGTTATATATACACATTTTAAAAATGAAATTAAAACACAACCTAACAAAAATGCGAGAAGCTTAATTTGCAGTTGAGCATAGAATCCACTTAAAGTTAAAGGACACTACACAGGCCACAAACCCTCAAAGTGGGTGAAAAGTTGCCTTCCCACTGCCAATGTGGGGTAAACCCAATTAATGCTGTTTTGCCATGTGTTAGGAAAGAGTGGAGAAAGGTCTGGAGTTTCCCTTGAAGTCCCTAAGCAGCCCTGCACTTTGGGATGTGAATAGGAGGGTCAGTTCTGATTTGGAACTGGTCCCACTGTTCCAATGAGCCAGTGCCACCATCCCCCTTTCCCAATACCCCCTACCATGGAGAAAGTACAATGGCACTTGCTTTTGCTGTTTTTCTGTCATCATTAGGAAATGACCACAGTAGATTTCCAGGATCTGTTCATACTATACATTTATAGAACTATTATTCTACTTCAGCTATGATGGCTCCATAGAGTTTGTGGCTCCATGGAATCTGGAGTTCTCTTGCTGAGAATTTCAAGTGTCTTTAGCCAAATAGAAACCCCAGGATGAAACCATATACTTAAGGCAGAATAAAAGTGCTATAATTCTGCAGTGTGAATGAGTCTCTGGTGATTATAGGAAGCTTAGTGCCATGATGCATTCAATGTCTGTAGCCATATTAATGTTGGTTTCTCCTCCTCCTCCTATACTCCCTTGACATTTCAATAGATCTAAAATATCTAATATTGCCAACAATTTGTATGCAAAACTGATTTTCAGCTGGATTATTGCAAAGAATGGCATAGCCATACTTCTATACCATTTGATACGGGGAAATTCCAACAGGTACAACTAGCTGCACTGTAATGTGAAAAGCTGTACCTTGAACTATTTTATTTTTAGTGAAACTTTGAAATGTATTATAGGAACTCTTGCTACATCTTCATGAGACAACTTTATGTTGCCCCACACAAGATTTACTACAGTTCAGTTTTTTTCGGTCTCAGTTTTTTTCACTACCTATTTTACCCAGGAGTTAATAAATGCAACTTCCTTTATATTATTCATAACACACCCTTGATGTCTGCAACTCCCAGGTACCAATATCTTCCTGAATGATAGATTCATGTTATGGAGGTCTGCACTTTTAAAATAAGGAATTCAATAGGATTACTCCTAGAACAAGACTTAACCCAATAAAATTCAGGGCTTAACATTAAACATATTTTCAGTTATGTTCTGTTTTAAATTAGTAGTCTATGGAGTTCATAATGCAAATTAGGAGAGCATTACTGAGTGAGGGCTAAAGACTTTTTATGTATATTAGTTATTTATTTTATTAATAAATATATCACTGTTCTAATAACAAATGCAATATTATCTCAGGAAATTAAAACAATTAAACAATCCATTATACATCATACATCAAAATCTATCAATCGTTGTAAAGTCCTGATATAATTCCAGAAGCAAGCAAAAACCCTGAAAAATACAGTAAAAATAAAAAGATAAACCCAATTTCATCTGAACTCCATCAGGCAAGGTTCAGCAATACCAATGACCAAGAGTACTAAAACCAAGACCAAGAGTACTTTACAACGATTGCTACAATTATGTATGTTTGTGTTGTTATTAGAGGTAGTTATAAATCACCCATGACTAAATGGGCATCCTCCCCTTAGCTACACCCTTGTCTATGACTCTTCTCTGTCAACAAACAGATGTGAAATTCTTTATCAGTGTTCACCAGAGTAAAGGTGAACAGATAATAAAAGGCATTTCAACTTCACTTGTAATCATATGAAGGGGGCCATCTAACCAGGGCCCTTGTTTTGTTTAGATCATGAAAAATAACCCAGTCTTCTAATATGACCGATGGGAATATTCAGAGAAAAGCTAGCAGAGGATATACTACTTAAGAAAAACTTAAGCATGACTGTATTGCATTAAAGAAACGGCCCACTTTGTGTTCAAATGCTCCCCTTAACCACTGCATATAGATGAGCATAGTGAAGGAAGGTAGCATTCTGTTGTGGACTTTTGGCATTTTGGGGTACAGGAAACATTTGAAAATTGGATGGCTATAGTTCTGCAACAGCTTTTGAATAAGCTACATTGGTATTCATCTACATCTACAGTATATGTTGGCCATCAATAAGATCTTTTGCAATAAAATACCTTATTTAGAGAAATGTCTGCCCTCTTTGATGATGGTGGGACAGGTAGCCAAACCAGTTCTCCAACTTTTACAGGCACTCCAGAATAATTGAAACATCTGACAGAAGAGAATACATGAGGGCTGCAATGATTGATCCATGTCTTTAAGAAAAAGATTGAATCCATATTTCCACCAGGGGGTTCAGACAGTGATATATTCATAACAAAAAATCCCCCACAGCTGCTAA